AATATTAACGTGATTTAGATGTAATTATTAAGGACTCGCCGTAATTGGGGACACTGTGGCGAGTATCCTGGCACTACATTGTTAAAATTTAAATTTAGTAGTTGTCGAACATTATTAAATCATTAAATCATTAAATCATTAAATCATTCGTGTTTTTGGTTTATATTGTTAAGTATTTTATATAGTTACTTTTAAAGTCTTTCAGAAATTTAAATGTAAATAATATGACAAAATACTGTAAATTTAGCTAAACTAAAACTAATAAATAGCAAAATGTATTTTTATTCATGTACTTACGTAACTGTATTAGTAAAGTGGTTAGTTCACCAACACAAAGTACATTTCTTGCCTTCGTTTAACGAAAGTTTCCCAATATCTTTGGTCGATCGACGTCCATATCTTTTCCTTCTTGATTATAGTATTCTTCGAAAGTCTTTTGAGTCGTAGTTAATAATTACATACACTAAAAATACTCTTTTTCTGTCTTTATCCCAATAGATTTATATTTATGGAAAAGATCAAAGTAAAATTGTAAAAACCGCTCAAAAAGTGATATGAGCCGATTGAGCGCTATTAAAATTGTCTTGAAATTAAAAACCACTCGAGTTGCTATGGCAACAAAACAATAAAGATGCGCCACAGACCATAGAGATTATAAATAACACTAGAGGAGGCATCGAGTTTAAAAATTGGGAACGCAGCTAATGGGGGGCAAATTCAAGTCCCGGATATAAAATCGTGCTCTCACTGGCTGATTTGAAACTCGTCACCAATGGGAACACGAATACACATCCGGGACTTGAATTTGCCCCCCAATAGTCGCGTTCCCTTTTTTTTACTGAATTAAGATTACAATGCCTCCTCTAGTGTTATTTATAATCTCTATGCCACAGACCACCCAAATTATACTATCCATGTCAGTCGTTGAGAAAAACAAATGTCACGTATAAATTTTGTCTTAAGTATATAGAGACTTAAATAAAAAGTTTTTAAATATATGATTAAAACGCGACTTCACGTCTATTTTAATAAATATGATAAATAGCGTAGAGTAGTGGCAAGTACAGTGGTAGACCTCCCACTCCCAGTCTGCGCCCTTTCAAAGGCAAATTTGGAGTAATCAAAACAACCTATGTCTATGTCTATGAGAGTTTGTTTATCACTTAAAAAACAACCTACAGTCTTGGCAAAAAGTTAATGAAACACCTTATAAAAAATCAATAAAACAGACAAAATCCCCTCCCCCTGCACAATGTTGGACATAGATTCTAAAAAAAATGTGTACAATAGTTCATGGATGGCAGAGAGCCAGGGCATTTTTTAACTATATAACTGGGGGGGGCCAAAGCCCCCCCCCCAGCCCCCATGGTGGCCCCCCCCCCCACTCAACCATTTTGGCCCCCCCAGTCAAAGTCCCTTTTCTCTAAAATATAAGCAAAACATGGAATTTAGAAGGGAGGTTTGATATTCTAGTAACTGAAATTTGTTTTGTGAATCTTATGTCTGTCTTTTATGTTTAATAAATACCTTAGATTTTAAAACATTTCCCAGGCAGTGGATTGCATTTCCCAGACCTTATAGATTTGAGTTGTTGGACAAGTTAGTGACCGCAGGGGGCAACAGGCCCTCAACCAAGTGTTTTATAAGGGGGGGGGGATAATTTTGGCCCCCCACCAAAAAAACCAATTTGATTTCGAAACTAGTAGTTGAAATCATATATACATATAATCAAATATCTGTAATCGATATTTTGTTAACATTTCTCGTAATAATCCATCATGACTCGCGGATATCAGACTCGCAAATCATAATGAACGAATTAATGAAAGGGCCTAACAAAAGACGTATACAAGACTTTGAAAATGCCATTTCCGACGATTTAGAGACGCAAAATTTTCAAACTTTTTTCGCTCTGTGCCAACCATGGTGGCGCTTCGTGGGAGTCGGGAACTCTAAGTTTATCAAGCTGGCTCCCTAAGTGACGGCCAAGTTGTGGTATCTACATAAACATACTATACAAGTACTTAACTGAAGGTTCAGTCTATCTACAGCATAATGT